GCGGCTTCTACGGCAACGCTCTCCAAGCCGCCTCATCAGAAGGTCATCAAGAGATTGTCGCACTGCTCTTAGACAAGGGAGCAGATGTTAATGCCTAGGGCGGCGAGTACGGCAACGCTCTCCAAGCCGCCTCATCAGAAGGCCATCAAGAGATTGTCGCACTGTTCTTAGAGAACGGAACAGATGTCAATGAAAGAAATGGCTCTATGGCTCCAAGCATCCCGGCGAAGAAATCACTCCTCATGCACCCTGAGCCTTCTGATCAAACTCAATAATCGTTGAGCTCTACTACGGTGTCCACCTTTTGCCCAGCTTTAAACCTCGTTACTCTTACCACTTCGCAGATTCTAGGCGTGACTAGTTAAAGTCATGGCAACCTGGGCTGCGGTTTCTATTATGATATTTCAATATCCTTATCTAGTCATAGGGTCTGGGGAGAGCGACTATTCTATATATCTCTGTTTTGCCACTGACGGTATACTTGGATTGGGGTATATCGAGTTATGGTCCCAGGCCTGCGGCCTATTCCCTTGGTTGTGGCTGAAGACGTGGCTGGTGGATTATATCAGAGAAGCAAACAAACATGGTAACACAGCATTAGGGCATTGGAGAGGAGAGTCGCTATCTCGCGCACAAAGGTGCCGGGAGGTTCCTTCTCTCTCTCTCTCTCTCTTCAGTTTAGATTAATGGAACTTGGTAATCGCAGACCTTGCGCATCCAGACCGTGTCATGGAAGGGTGGTTATTAATAATAAGAATCAATTTAACGTACTATCTGGATCCCTTTCGGGTCTATGAGCACGGCATTCTATCTGGTCTGTCGCGGGCAAAAGTTTCCCCGTAGCCATGAGGCTGCGGGTACGTAAAATCCCGCCTCCTCCTCTTAGTAGAGTATCTCAATCCTTTTCTTCTTTCCGCACGAGTCGGTGTTTCCGCCTACGCGGAGAGCTTATTCTAGCACGTCGTGGAGGAGCTGGAACGGTTTCCAGTCCTCTATTCCCTCCCTCTCAACTTCCTTGGCTACCCGGTATTGCTCTAGGCCTCCCGCATCGATCAGCCACCTTGCTGCGTGGCGCACCTTGTCCCTGTCATGCAATATCCTCTTAAAGTTCGTTGTTCCAGCTCGTTGGAGGAGCGTAATCCTCTGGTCGGTCCGCTGCGGGCAAAAAGCAAGGAGATAGTGGAGAGACTGTCGGGGGGAACCGCACTCACATGCTGGGTGGATTCCAGGGACACCAATTTTCGCGAGCCATCCCTTAATTCCAACTATCTCAGTCCGGAGTGCCATAAGCGCCGAGGCCTCGTGTTTCTGAAGGCCATCGAATCGGTTAAGGCACTGGGTTTCCCACGGGTCCTTCCATGTCCTTGCTCTCCTTCCTGGTCTAGCCGCTTCGGCTTGCCATCTTTCCCTCCATTTCGCCCGATACTCATCCTGGATCATCCGGTATGGGCCTTTTCGCTGTTGTGTCTGATATCCCCTAGCTGGTTCGGGCCGGGGGAACAGAAGTCTGTCATACAGAGCCCGGAGCGTATATATTGCGGGTTCATGTTTAGATCGGACAGGACATTATATTGTGTTTGTACACAATCGCAGGTTTCACCAGTCTGCCTATCCAGACTCCTGCCACAGTTTTCTGAGCTGTGCCATCTGCACTTCGCTCGTCCACAGTCGCCCCCGAACCAAAAGGGTCTCTGCCTGTGTAACGCCTGTTTGCTCCTTAAGCATACATCA